TACAAGTTTCATTGGACATAAATAGAAAGGTAACTTTCATTTAATAAACGTAGTTAGTTAACCTCTAAACTGTAGTGTACTATAAACTGAAATCATTTGTAGTGTTTACTAGTTTCTTACAGTATGGTTGACCCAATTGTTATTGATATGGAAGAGGAGAGTTCCCAAAAGGTTTCCAAGCGAAATGCCAAACGGGCAAGAAAGGGTTCTCTTGATTTGGAGGCAAACTCGGAGGAGGCTGCAGCTAAAAGTTTACTACAATCGGCCTTACAAATCCAGGAGAATCTTAGGGTTTATGTTCAACGGGCAGATAATGGGTTGAATATCAAGGTACAAAATTATATAAATAGAAAAATTCTAACCTTGATAGATATAATTGAAACCCTAGACGACAAAAGTAAAAAGGCACACACAAATGAAGACGTTTCTGAGCTCATCCAAAAAGCGGTTCATGAGTCACTTAAGACTACTAGTATTCATGAGATGATTGCTCGACTTGTAATAGAAAAAACGGTGCCCAAAATTATTGAGGGACTAACGGCAGCTCGAGTGGAACCACAACCACAAATCTTAGCCAAAGCCGGTCACTCAAGTGAAGCGCAAGCAGATATCAGAGAAGCAAGCCCGGCTGGACCCTCAGCGGCTACTGAACCCTACAAAGTCGTAGTCAGTAAAAGAAGCCGCAGGAGGACCAAAGCAGCTAACAAGGCAGCTAGTAATTTAAATAACCTGATTGAGCCGACCAGTCATGTCTCTCCTGAAGATTCAGCCCAATTACAAAGTAAGCCACGGACAATGGCAGATATTGTAAAATCTCTGCCATTGAAGCCGGCAGAGATATCTAACTCTAAACCCACCTACGTCACAATTAGTGGGCCCGGTAAAAGTCCCGTGGAAATCATCAGTGGGCTGCCATCTCCTACTGAAATAGGAGTTAATGCCTCCATAGTACGTGCTACTAAGGGAGGCTCGGTCTTAGTTCGGATGGAAGATAGCTCCCAAGCGGCGAAAGTTATTGGGTGGCAGGGTCTACGAGAAGTAGGACTAGAGGCCAAGCTTGCACTTAAGAAACGACCTAGGCTTGAAATTAAAGGTGTGCCCAATTCGTGGACTGCGGAGGCATTAATTACGCTTTTACGGGCAAAGCTAATTGATAAATCGATCCCAGCTTCGCTCGTGAACGATGGACTTCGGCCTGTTTTCTCATCTACAGCAAGGAATGGAATAACTAAAAACTGGGTGCTGGAAGTGCACCCAACCCTACGATTCCATCTATTAGACATGGCATGCTTGAATGGAGGATGGTGGTCAATGACCTTTGAAGATAACCTCGACGCCCCCCGTTGTACCAAGTGTCAGGACTACGGGCACTCTAAGGCCACATGTCCAACAGATGCACTGGTCTGCATCTGGTGTGCAGGTACTGGTCATTTTCTCAAGGAGTGCCCCAAAAAACTAGCTCAGGCAGGGCCGACATGCATCAACTGTGTGAGGGCAAAGGCCCATCCGAGACACACTAAGCATAAGGCGGGCAGTCGTGATTGTCCTGTGCATTTAAATTGGTCACAAAAAATGGCGATGAGGACTTCTTATGAATAAGATCTCCATCCTTCAGCTCAATATGGGCCGCCGGCGTCTAGTTGCGGAAGAGCTACGCTCCCTCTCACAAAGCTACGACATCATGGCAGTCCAGGAACCGAGTTGCTGGGGAAACAAGGTCACGGGGTTTGGTCTCACATCGAGGGTTATAGCCTTGAGCAGTGGAGAGAGGAGGCCCAGGGCTGCTATTGTGGTTAACAACCCCAACCTCGATGTGATGGATCTGAGGCAGTTTACCATAGCGGACTGTGTTGCTTGTCATATCAGATGGAACCATGTTGCCTTTACGCTGGTCTCATCATATTTACCGGACGGGGGCGATATTGACGAAGACATATCCGCCATGGAGATGATCACGGCTTGCACCAGGAACGTGATCATATGCTCAGATACCAACTCCTGGAACACGGTCTGGGGATCTAATCGAACTAATAGAAGGGGCGCTAAGCTCGGTGAATTTATTGCCCGAAACCATCTAGTGGTTATGAACGATCCCTCTGCTACCCCGACGTTCTCTAGCGCTAGGGGGCAGAGCTGGATTGATGTTACCTTGGTATCACCGGTGCTGGCAAACCGCATTATCGATTGGGTCCTCCGATCTGAAACGAGTTCCGACCACCAAGCGATAGCCTTTAGGCTGACGGAAAATACAGAAGTTTCCCTCGGAATAGAAAAAGGTTACCTTACTCGAAAAGGAAATTGGAGTGCCTTCCGATCATTGCTGGAGGGAAAACTGGTCGACGAAGACTGGGATGAGGCGGAAACGGAGCAAACAGATGATCTGGATTACCGAGTATCCAGGATCACTGATGTCATCCGCGATACCGCTGAAGAATCCCTTCAGCACCGGAAGGCGAGAGCTCGACCTGTCCCATGGTGGACGCCTGCCTTAACCACTATGAAGAGAGAACTCTACAAGGCACGGCGTCCATACCAGAAGTGTACTTGCGAAGAGAGGCGCATTACACTTCGTGATGAGTACAAGTCTAAAGCCAGGGCATACCGAAACGAGGTGCGGTTAAGAAAGCGGAAGTCTTGGGACGAATTCATTGTTCAAGAGTCATCTAAGAATCCCTGGGGTTTACCTTACAGAGTGGCCCTTGGTAAGTTTGCTCCACAGCAAGTGATTGCAGCTTTGAGGCGCGGATGTTCCCAGGCAACCACTCTGGAAGAGACTGCAAAGATGTTCCTAGCTGAGACCTACCCCAGAGATGATTCGTCCCAGGATAATGAAGAGGAAATATTTATAAGACGCACTACGGTATGCCAACCTGGTACGGACTTGTGCCCACCGTGGGACATATGGGATCTACGTGCTGCTGTGGATAGGCAAAAGACTGGACGTGCACCTGGGTTAGACTCCATTGACGCAGCAATCCTCAGGAACAGTATCCCCTATATTGAACAGAGACTGTTGACATTATTCAATGATTGTCTAGACAGGGGATACTTTCCTAAGAGTTGGAAAATTGCTGATGTTAGACTCCTCTACAAGGGAGGAGGCAAGGACAAGCAATTAGCCAAATCTTATAGGCCTATATGCCTCCTCCCTATCATGAGTAAATTATTGGAGACCCTGTTGATGATGAGTCTACGACCAGTCTTCTCTAGGGCTAGCCATCCACGGCAGTACGGATCCACTAAAGGCAGGGGAACCGCAGATGCCCTGCTGAGAGTGCGCCGTGACGTTGAAGAGAAGGCGGAGAAGTATGTCATGCTTATCCTGTTCGACATATCTTCCGCCTTTGATAGCGTCTGGTGGCCGAGCGTACTCCAGCAGTTGCAGAAGTATGAGGCTCCCAGCAACTTATATGATCTTTTAAGGAGCTACCTCCAGGATCGAACATTGAAGATAAAAGGTAGCTTCTTTGAAGTACAAGAGTCGATGGAAAGAGGTTGTCCGCAGGGCTCGGTTCTTGGACCAGCCCTGTGGAAATTAGTCTTCGATGAGTTGCTGGGGGTACTAGAACAGGAGCGGTTCCCCGCCACGGCCTATGTTGATGATCTGGCCGTTGTAGTGGCCTCAAACAGCAGAGCCAGGTTAAAAGAAGAAGCTGAACGATGTGCCAACCTCGTAGGAGGATGGTGTGAAAGAAAAAAGATGAAGATGGCGGCTGCTAAGACCCAGTCCATTCTTTTAAGAGGTAAGACTGACAGGGCCCACCCTATTACTCTCAGAATAGAAGGAGAAAGGATACGTCCAAGTGAGGCTGTTACATACCTTGGCATAAGAATTGGGAGAAATTTCAACGTTACGCCTCACTTGGACTACATGAAAAGTAGGGTGGCCCTGGCTCTCAATGGACTTAGTCGCATCGGGGGCGCCTTTTGGGGTCTCAGGTACCCAGCCACGTTGACTATTTATAAAGGAGTTATTCTGGGCATCCTGAGATATGCGTCCCCTGCGTGGAGTCATCATCTCTCGCACCAACAGAAGAAAAGGTTGGCAACAATCCAGCGGATGGCTCTGCTGCGGGTCACTAGAGCGTACCGTTCAGTGTCTCATGAGGCGGTACAAGTCTTAGCCGGAACTACTCCTATTGATCTTCTCCTACGAGAAGAATACTTCCGGCATAAGATGAAGAGAGAAGGCCTGGTGGATCTACCGGCGAATCTTCGTGTGAGGATCAGTGAAGACCCTAATGGATGGAAGAGGATTCTTCGGGAGAACACGTTAAAGGAATGGAACCAGCGGTGGGTGACGACGCCAAAAGGAGCTACGCTAAGAAAATACTTCCCCACTGTTGGTTCAAGAATGGAACAGACATGGGTTCTCCCGGACTACTGGGTCTCACAGTTCCTCACAGGGCATGGGGGTTTCCGAGCAAAGCTCGTTGAATATGGCAAGAACATCGATCCCCTATGCCCAAGTTGCAGAGTGCCGGAGACCGCCGAGCATATCATCCTAGTCTGTACCGCCTTTGAGGCACTGAGGGCTAAGTTGTTGAGGGAGACGGGGCTCTACGCTCTGACGGAAAGCGATCTCCCTCAACTTATGACAAAGGAAAAATACCCGTATTACAAGGCATTCGTATACGGGTGGAAGGAACTGGTTGGGTCAAACCACTTTTCATTGGGAAGAAGAAATGAACATGTATACGGAAGACCGCCAGAGAGGGTGGAACAGGATGCTGGATAAAAAGAAAAAAAAGAGCAGGCTGTGTGCACAGCTGTAAAAAATGTAATTGGTCTGAATGCAGCAGTGAATTGTAACGCATGCGTTGCTACTCACTACTGCATAACACCCGTATTGCCTTATCGGCAGGGTAGGGTGTAAATAAAATAAATAAAATAAAATAAATAAATATGCGGTCTCTTCTATGAAGAGGACAAACTATCCATTCCCAATGCGTTGAGGTTATGGGAAGTTGCAATGTATTTATTTTCATTACATAATATATTTACCTGAGAGTTTTCACCAAAGGCCTTATTCCAGGAGAACCAAAAGGAGAGAAGGCAGTTACGGTGATATCATTATCCTGACAGAAAGATACGAGTTCTTTCTCCTGCAGATAAATTTGCATTTCCATCTGAAGGTTCACTGGCCGTATCCTACAGTTGTCTAGAATCCTTTGAATCTGCTTAGAGTTAAATTTAGAAATACCGATGTATTTAGCCCTACCAGCGTCTACTTGAGCTTCCATTCCCTGAAAAAAGAGAAAAAGTGTTTATTTTATAACTGTTTCTGACGGATATTAATATATTTGAAACTTTTTATAAATATTTTAACTATAAAAAAATAATATTAAAAGTAATATTTTCCTCAAAGGAATTCTGTAAAATAACAGACTCATAACTTACCATTTTTTTTAATAACTTGATAAAACAAGTTATGTAAAATTATTGGTATGTACATATACAGATCACATTATACTATTGTTTAATGTTTTTATATAACAGATATATGGCAAATATAATATTAATCACTAATCTAAACAAGTTATAATCACTAATCTCAATAAAGTTAGAATCGGTAATAATCTGTCCGAAGCATTTGAGGTTCGTTCGGGTTTAAAGCAGGGGGATTCCCTTTCGCCTGTTCTGTTCAAGTTGGCGTTAGAACATGCCATTAGGGAGGTAATGCGTACCTTAAAAGGGTTGGATCTGGGTGGAACAAAATCCGTGCTGGGCTATGCTGATGATCTGGTACTGTTAAGCGAATACGTAGAAAATATAAATACGACAACGTTAATGAAAGCCGGTGAAGAACTAGGGCTCGAAATAAACGCTCACAAAACATAATATACGGTTAGCTGCAAAAATGGCGATAGAGAAATTGAAAAGGTAGAGAAGTTTAGGTGTCTAGGTTCTACGATAACTAGAAAAAACGACATTGAAGAAGAAATTAAGGTTAGACTGAAGACGGGAAATGTTTGTTATTTTTCTCTGACAAAACTACTTAGTTCGCGCCTCTTGTCCCGGAACTTAAAAATTAGAATCTATAAAACCATTGTCTTACCTACAGTTCTTTATGGATACGAAATTTACATTAAGGGATGAGTAGCGTCTTATGGTTTTTGAAAATAAAGTATTGCGTAGAATATTCGGACCGAAGAAGGATGAGTTAACCGGAGAGTTCAGACGGTTACACAATGCTGAATTGCGTGAACTATATCCAGGTAATACAATTGACGTAATTTGTTCTCGGCGAATCAAATGGGCTTGCAAAACGAGAGAATTTCTAAAAAGTTAATATTTGCTTTACCGAATGGTAAACGTGCGAGAGGTAGACCGAAGCGAAGGTGGGAAGATTGCATTAAAGCCGATCTGAAGGGACTGGGTTTGGACGGCGAACGGTGGAGGGAGGTGTGTAATAAGCGATTGATGGTGTCGGCATCGAACCTTCGGGTTTGCTAAGCCTTTTATTATTATGATTATTTATCTAAAAAAGACATTTTGGCCAAAGGTCTGTCTGTGCCACATCAAGCTACCACTTGAACTGGTCTATCGATTTCATTGTTTTTTATTATTTCCTTAATGACTATACCAGCCTGTAAGTTTTAAGCTCAATATACCGTTTTCAAGAAAATATAAATAAACTGTACCACTACAACCCATTAAGGATTTTGGCGTCAGTACTTTATGATGAAGTACTGTTTTAAGACCAACGGTTGTGCAAGGAAGTGATTGGGCCATAATCACGCTCTACAGATAGGCTATTCACTTAATTTATTATTTAATTAAGATTACCTTCTTTATAGAGGCTGTATGTGCCCCACGAGGGTCGGTATCCCGATCCTAGGGTCGATCCACGGCTGAGAAAAATTTCTTGAAATCGGATTCGAACCCGGGACCTTGAGCTTAGCGGTCCAGTGCCTAACTCATTGACCTACTGCGCTCCCTACCGTTTTCTATCGTTCAAGACTGGTAGTTACCAATTGTTATCAGGTCTAGAAAATATGTTTCAGCTATGACACATTTAAAAAAAAAAAAGTTAATCATTTTCTGAGCATTATTCCATAGCTCATTTATTTTTTATCTAATTAGGTTTATATTGTCTTTTAAACCTTTATACATTTTAGTTGACGTTTTCTGAAATAATTTTAAATAACTTTACTTAGCGCAAAGATGCCCAAAATTTGATGATTATTTTTTAAATAATACAAAAAAAATGCTACAAAACGAAAAATGTAGCGAAGGGATACCGGGAAGGATATTTGAAAGACTATTTAAGCGTCATGTATTTCAAACAATTGATCAAAGCCATTTTTTAAAAATAATTGTAATCAACATCAGACTGGTTTAACTTAATTTAATATTTTGAAAAAAAAATATAATTAACTGAATTATCAAAAACAGTCTTAAGTAATAACGCACACAGACATTGATTTAGACTATAAATAAATGAATGCTAAAACTATTTTTCAACTGGTGGAACTAAAACTCTACTCGCCCAAACGTCCGTCTTCTGTATTTTACTAGGCCACTTTTTAGTTAATCAACTATCTATAAACCGGTTGATATATTACATTTCTCTTTGTTATCTGTTATTTGGCAATGATGACTTCCAATTAACAACAATTGAATTTATTTATTGTATTTTCAAATTACATTTTTACATGTTAACGTTTCAGGATATTTACTCCCATCTTCAGAACTACAATCCCAATGATTTTTTGTTAATACATGGCTAAAAAATTTGAGTTATAATACAGTGCATGTCAGAATTGGGTTGTTACATTAAAATTGTAATTATCTTAAATCTAATGTGTTCCATCGTCAGGTTCTAATTCAAGTTATGATAAATTAAGGTATATAACATTCAGAGCAACATCTTGCTTTTACACTAATTATTGGGTGTATGCCATAGTGAATAGAAATGACATTTGGATATGACTGTTTATTTTTATACTATTGTTGTTAAATGTTTATTTTTTATGTAGCTGCAATTTCATTTTTATTAAGTTTTAATTTTGTTTAATATGTCAGCATAATGTGTTCCTAAATGTTTAGTGTCTGTTTTATAATTTACTGTTGTTCTATTGTTTTTTGTGACGTGTGTGGTTTCAAGTAATTTCCTATTGGTGTTTTTTTAGTTCTGTGCCTAATATTTGTGATTTATTGAAGTTAAATTTATGCTGTAATCTTATGCTGTAATGTGATAAAGCTGTTGTCAAAATTTCATGTATTTTGAAAGTTGTTTTTGTCCTCCTAGATCGGCGATCGACTACAATAGTTGTACCCAGAAGGGAGTTTCATGGCGCAAGCTGCGCCATCAAAATTGTTGAGGGAGGGGGGTTATATTTTGAGAGTTTTTTTTAATTTTTGAGGGATGAAAATTTCGACGGGGTTATGAATTTAACTAAAGGACAAGGAGAAAAATATGGAACATTCCACAACAAGTGTAATTGTATATGCTCTACGATTTTTGTAGTTCTACCTTAGCTTACTCTGTTTTAAGAAACGATAAGTAATAGAATATCTTGGGAGGAACGGGGAGGAAGGGGGTAGATTCTTGCGCCATCGACCTTGGACTTTGCACCCCAGGACACCACTATCGGTCGGAGTAAAGTAAGAAGCTTTATCATTTGAATAGACTGTCTTTACATTATTATATTATATACGCGAATAAACATGTTTCACTGATATCTCATAAAATCGCTCTAGGAAAAATGTAGCTATCCAATTTGTGTTCTCACCAAGGTCAACTAGTTTGTATTAAATATTTTACAAATATTAATTAACATAATACTCATTCATGATCACTTACTTTCCACAAGTCTACAAGATCGGTTTCCATATCCAACTCCAATTCAGTGAAGTTCGGAACCTCCTGGGCGATATCGTCAGGTCTTTTAAAACCCATTGGAGAATGGACAAGGTACAGGTCCACGTAGTCCAGTTGTAACGCTTCAAGAGACTTCTTCAAGAAGTACTCAACATCTCCTCGGCGATTTCCATGGTGTGGAAGCTTAAATAATAATAAAAACGCAATTTATTAGTTTATTAATAATAGTTCCTCCCCAAATAAAAATGTTTAGGGGTGAGAAAATCGTTTCACCCCCTCTCCCTTCCCCCAATGACTTGAAGTAAAAAATAAACTAAAACTGATATCAAATAACATACTAATTTATGTATCCTAGGATTTTATGATTCATTCACATCTCATGCGAACACCTACATTTCCCCCTGATTTTCTAATTTTGTACGATAACGTTGAAAAAAATCTACTTAATAATTCCGTGTTAATAATCTACTTAATAATCTAATTAATAAGTCCGTGGTACAGATCCCTTTTTATCGAATTATTAAAATCCGACTGAAACTTCGTAAATAGCTTCATCTCATCCTAACCAACAAATATTTTATTTTCGAAAATTTTCACACCTGCTTCAGAAGCAATTAGTACCTGGTCGTCAGGAAACTTGAGATTGAATAGTTATTTAAAATATTCTGTAGGAAAATTACAACTGAAATACCTTCGTTACTATGAAAAGCTCTTCTCTCTTGATTTTTCCACTTTCGAAAATCTTTTTGAGGGATCGACCAATATCGGCTTCATTGTTATATCGATACGCTGTATCGAAGTGTCTATAACCAGCGTCTAAGGCAGTGTTTAAAGCTTTGTCCATCTCTTCAGTTTTAATCTGAAAAATATAATTTTTTTTAATGTGAAAAAAAATATATACAGACAAATATATAAAAACAGAAGTGCTCTGTCTTTGCTTGTTGGTAGAGCAGGCTTGAACTTCGGGGCGAAACGTCGCCGAATGTAAAAATAAATACAATTATTTATTTTTACTATTTTATTATGAATTATTACCCCAACTATTCTTCAATTATTCACTACAGTCAACCATCAACCCACAATTATATGTACAAATAGAAGTATGAATAGAAGTTTATACAAATAGAAGTTTAGATCTTGATTTTTTTTCTATTTTTAATGCAATCAGCACCCAAAATATTGAGAGGGATAGAAATTTCTTTATCCCCTCCCCCCGTTCTATGTTATGAGCGTTACCTCTGTAAAGTCTGATATTTGTTTGGTTATAATGAATGAAACGAAAATACGTTTATAATTCTGGGACTAGTGCAACTTTAGAACTAATTATAAATGCAGAATATAAATAAACATAATAGTGTGTCTATAGATTAAATTAAATATTTAATTGATTAATATTAATTGGTAGAATAAAGTAAAAATTCAGGCAATAAAGATTTTTATAATATAATTTGCCATTAGGGATTCGCCTTCTTTTGAAATTATTCTAATCTTGATAGTAGTTACTTAGATTTTTTAAAAATATTTTAATATATTAATAAATAATTAATAATAATGAATACTAGCATACTTTATTTATTACATAACATTTTCAAAATTGTAATTATAAATAAAAAAAAGAAGTGTTAATCAGAGGTATGAGGTAGAACGTTTTATTAATAATAATAAAACAATATAATATAATACTATTATAATAAAGTATTGAAAAATCATTATTTTACAATATTAACATTCATGAATTTATACTTTCTATTTCTATTCTTGTAAAAATATGTAAACTAATTAATTATTCTGCTTAAACAATTTTGTAGTTGTTTTTTTTTTTTTAATTCTATTTTTCCAGCAGCCGCAGTAAAATAACTTTTAAATCTATGAGTTAAAATAAATTTATTTTTTTTAAAATCATTTATAGGATATCTAAATGTAATAGCAACAAATAATACGAAAAAAATCCAATTAACCCACGAAAAAATTAATATCAGAAATCTACATGTTAAGGTGGCAACCCTGCAGATAGTTTTTAGGTGCTTTGGTATCTAATAGGTTATAATTATTCAAATTTGTGAATATTCTTCTTAATTATTCATTTGTCAAAGGAGATATTTTTATTTCGTAAATTATGTCTTAATATTGCAGCTATATAGGAGAGATTAAAGAAAAATACAAAAAGATTCTTAAATGAAGAAGTGATATGTTAGCATGAGGTAGAAAATTAATTAGTAATTCAATTTCACTGTAATTTTTGTAAACTTTCTGCTGCATATGAAATATTTAAAAAAATTTATAACTATTATTTAATATATATTTCACAGCACTAACATTCAGAAATGTCTGCTTTCTGCTTCTGTTTCTATTCTTACAATAAAAATATATAAGTCCTCAACGACTCCAATAAAATAACGTTAAAATTTGTGAGTTAAAATAAATTAATTTTAAAAACAATCATTTATAGGATATCTAAAAATATAAAAAAAAACTAAGGTGTGTGCTTTAACCACACGATAAAAGAGAAATGATCAACACTGCCAGATTAATAATATGAAATATAAAATATAAAAAATAGCTCATTATAAAGAGGAAAAAATACTGAACATTTCCCTCGCTTACGGTATGTAGGTCCGATTTTTAGTTTCAAAGCTTTTTTAATCCATATTCTCAATAAAACTCATTATCATTTGATTTTTGACATCATTTTTTTTTCCTTTTCGCTCGCTAACACGGCTTCGAGTTCAAATATAATTCAGAATAATAGCCCATTACAGAGAAGATGAAATTCTGAACAATTCCCTCTCTTACAGTATATAGGTCCGATTTTTAGTTTCTCATATATTTTAATACATGTGTAAAAACACTTCAATTAGTCGATTCCAGCCAACTTTACCTGTGCGTTACACATCGGACATCTGACAGCTCAGTCTAATTCACTCTCCACAAAAAGCCTAAAGGAGTTTTCACTTCAAAAAACAATTGACCACTAAAGTACAAATATAAACAATCTCATGTGAACGTACGTGTTAAGGTGGTAGCTATGAAGAGAGTTTTTAGTGGATTTTATAATTATTTAAATTTATGAATATTCTTCTTAATCTTCCTCTGTCAAAGGAGATATTTTTGTATTGTACATTATGTACTAATATTACAGGTTCATAGACGAATTTAAAACAACAAAAATAGGAAAGAGTCTCAAACAAAGAAGTTGTAGACAGATACGAATTAGAAACTTAATTAATAATTGAAATTTACAGTATATTTTTTAAACTAGCTCCTCTGTGGTAACTTAAAATAATTGTTATATATATATTTCACATATTAACATTCAAAGTTATAACATGACGTATTTTGGCCTAAACTAACCTGCATGGTGCCCAGACCTATGTATGGTAGCTTCATGCTGCTATGTTTCAGAAAACACTTTTTCGTTAGCGGAGCCATCTTGACTTCTGTCCCGAATAGAGGTTTGTGTTGGACTGGTCGAACTGAGCCAGTGTATATAATCATGTAATGACCTTGGCTACTGATAAAGCGTTTGATATCTACTTGTAGTGTTTACATCTAGAGAGTTGTCAAGTTTAATGCAACGCCCAATCTTGCATAGTATTGCAATACTAATAAAATGGTTTTAATTTTTATGTTACACTAGTAATAAGTCGGAATTGCGTGGGACACGATCACATGGTCGCACTGTACATGGAATACCGAAGATAGCCGAGTTTGCCCGAATCAATTCGGAGACCACCGGTTTCGACGCCCAATTACTCTCGCTTCAAGGAGATATAATATTCTCTCAAAACCTTCACTTCTTATAAACGAATTGATAAATAAATTAATATAGATAACAGTTTAAAGTAGCTTGTAAATAGCTTTTAGACTATGTTTGTTTTCCAACGTAGAATACTAATTACTAACAATCATAATGTACGTACAACTCCATTTGCATTTTGATTTCAGTATTGAAAATTAATTTATTAATATTATATTCTTACAATCAAAATGTGTGTATCATTATGTATTTGTATGTGGTCAGTTCCTCAAAAAATAAATATATATTCTATATTCTATTCTACTATAGTCCGTGGTACAGAATCCTTTTTATCGAATTATTAACATCCGCCTGAAACTTTGTAAATACTTTCATCTCATCGTAACCTAAAACTATTTTATTTACGAAAATTCTTGGAATTGGGGCGTTTTCAATTCGGAGGGGAGCAATTTGGTCTATTTAATTAAGTACTATGAACTCGTAAATACCCATTTGCTTTCTACTACTAATTTGATCACAAAATCGAGAAAAAATATGGCCTTCAAAAATATTGAGCCGTTTGGCGTGAAGTACTTCCCCAAATTTTCAAAATATATATTGGACAAAAGTCACAATATTGTAGTAGGCCACATTTTTTATCGATTCAAGTAGAAAGCAAACGTGAACCACATCTGCAGCTGTTATAAACTCTTCAGGTAGCATATTATTTTATTTAAACATTAATTAACAATTATTTAATAAAGGTAAATAACCTAATTTTATTGTTTCTCTAGAAATAAGCCAATTTAAATCCAAATTCATGCGATACAATTGCAAAAAAATTGCTTGCCGAAAATTCAATTTTTTATTAACATAAAGATAGAAAAAAAGCAGAGATGTGATCACATTAGAACAAAGTTTTCCTCGTTTAGCATTTATAATATCTTGCTGCTTTACTATTGGACACTGGAGCTACAGGAGGGGAAGGAGGTATATAATTATTCAATATAATTTTATTATTCCGAGGTACATCTTATATAATATTCTTTTAATTGATTTTTATATAATATTTGATAATTTTACCTCACTGTGAAAATGATAAATTTAACTTTTAAATACTTTTAACCATCTAATTTCTCTCATATCCAATCCTTACAATCAAATTCCTTCGGAAAATCCTCAATGCTCCTTACTTTGTCATCAATAAAATAATCCATAACGACCTTAATGTTGCTTATGTTTCCGATTTGGCCAATCCTTCCATAATAAACTTCAGAACCATCCGAATCCTCTTGTCTCTAACCTTGCTTCCTCTTCTATCCCTGATAACATTTCGAGGCGTCTGAAAAGAAGATGGCCTCGAGATCTCCTATTGTAAATACTTTTTTTTAGTGTTACCATTGGGTAGTTTCTCAACAAGTGATTTCATGTTATTATTTTCTGTTATCAAATTTACTAAATGTATTTTATTCATTAATACAGTTGTAAATATCATAAATAAAGAAATACTTTTAATTTAGTTATTACTCCTTTCAGTCTGTTTGTAATGGAGTCGACAAATTTATTGGTGATTCCGGACTTAGGCTGTTCAATTCCTGGAAGAGATATCTTTTAAAGTCTTGTTTGCTAGAAATTTCGTGTTTTCTACTTCCAATTTTGCCCATATGTGTTCACATTATGAACTGATAAATGTGGGGGAGTTTTTAAAACTTTGGAGGATTTATAAAACAGCCATTCCTTAACTAACATGACAAAGTGTTTGGAGTCGTTGAATACAAAATTTGTTTTTTATACAAAATTTGTTTTTTATACAAAATTTTCCACAGTTTCTTTCAAGTTTCTACCCAAAATGTCTATGTAAACATGTTTATTCACTATACCATATATGTGAAGATTTCCTACAACTTGAAGCCGCCATATATCCCCACACCAAGAAACATAACATAAGAAAAGAACATGAAACATATCATAACATAAGAAAATAATCCTTAACTAGGATGTTTATTGATTACAATAAATTATTGTATTTAATGTATTATTAATTGAACTATTTATTTATTCAATAATATCTATCAATGTCCAGGTGTATCATTTTGACTATGAACCACAGTATATTAATAATATTGATATTAATGTTATAAATATTATTCTAAACTTGAAAATGTGTTGTTATCTTAACGTTGTCGGATGCAAAAATGAGAAATATGTGAAATTAATAGCAATCTACAAGCAGTTTCTTAAATCGGCGAATCGTATTCTCTACTTTTGTTTTTCTTTCTAAAAAAAATAAAGTCGATACAAACATTTTACTAGGCTTCAATACTGGAACGGTGGTAGGTCTGTAGATCGATGCAGGACAAATTGGACCTTGAAGATTTTGATGCGTACAGCAAGAACCTGCGTTTTTAAGCCCAAAAACGTTCTATTTTCAAGATAACGCAAGGCATAGGGTTCGCATCCTCACAACCTTACATTAATTGCTGTCATTGAATACATGTCTCATTTTGTCGACTTGAGGTCTCTTTGATCGAGAGAGGAGGAGTTCATATTATTTATCGATGGTGTTTTTGATCGGCAATCCATATCATCCTTAATTCACCAAATCTCAAGATTGAGCCACCAATTTTGAAGTCTTCCTTCTCCTTCAGGCGGGCAAAATAGTCCAATCACCCCGAAAATTCAGGCATACAAGTTATGAAAGAAGACAAACATTATTTGCGAATAACTAAAAAATTACACACGTTTTCCCTGGTTATGCCCATGATTACATAAAAGATTACTAAATTTCCTACAAAAGGAAAAAAATATCTTCGAAATCGGAAAATTTTTAGAAAAGATACAATGTATTGAAATTTGTAAACATGTTGGTTCCAAACATTAATGAAGATTTAAATTACTTTTTTTTCCTTTGTCGATTATATTTATCGATAAAATAACAATTGATTTCTTTATCTTTCGATACGTTGCAATATTTTATTTTCTTATTTATTTGGCATTTGATAACAATATTCTGCGCGAATTTTTCGCACGGGCCTACTAGGAAATAGTAAATTAGTAAAAAAAAAAAACAAATTAACTCAATACGTGTTTTTCGTTTTCACTTACTTTTTTTCTAATTCTATTATAAAGTTTTATTATTAGAAATACCAAACCTAAATATAAAAACATAAGTGCCAAATATTGAATATTTTTTGAGTTTTCTATTCTTGTAACACTTTGTATAATGTATTTCATCAAAAGTATTAGTTATTAACAACTGACAATTTTACACCGACTGATTCCGAACCATATTGGATTATATTTTAGAATAAAATCTTCACTGTAGAAAATGTTATGATAAGGTAAATAAAAAGGAAGAATTTAAAAAAATAATAATTTATATTTTTCTCTTCAATACAATTTAATACACATTCTAATTAATTGATATAAATACTTTATAGTGATACATCATTAGTAATTTATTTGGGGAAAGGATATTGAGGATGGTTGACGGAGGTGCCCATGTAGACTTTTCCAAATACTCTTCCATCTTCTCCGCGGTCCAGTGCCCTAATTCTCTCAAAGTCTTCCTTTGTCAGTTCGAAATCGAAAACCTTCGGTAGATTATTATCGATAAATATGTTTGTTATGTAATATCATTAAATAATAAAAACAATATAAATACGTACATCAATATTTTGTTGTATTCGTACTGGATTGGAACTCTTCGGAATTATACCGACTCCACATTCAACCAAAAACCTGAGGATGATCTGCGAAGGTTGTTTGTTGTACTTCTTAGCGATGTCTTTAATGACTGGGTCTTCCAGTGGTAATGGGGCATCGCTGGAATTAGTAGCATTAAATTATTTTTGGTTTATCGTATTTTTTTTAGATATGCCAATATTTCAGAAAGGGCTCGTTCGATTTGGCTCAAAGTTAAATAAAAGGTAGAAATTGGTGAAAAAATAATGTAGTGTCAATTTTATTGAATTCTGTGCACTACTTTCTCTTATATATGCGCAAACGTGTTTTACTTGATAAAATCTATCCAAAATTTCAAAAAAAAAAAAAAAAATACTGCGGTGCTATAGACTGTAGCGCCTAAACGAATGTACCGATTTCAATGAAACTTCGCTAAAGTCATTTTCTCTAAGCCCTTTAAATTTATCTATTATTAATATTGTATATGGTTTTTCAAATGTTTACGGAATTTCCTAAACAACAAAAAAAAGTTCGTTAAAATCGGACAACTAGAAGGAAAGATATGGTCCCTAGTTTTTTTTCCCTGGAGAGGCGAAAATTTGGATAAATTTAAAATATACTTTTTTAATTGTTGATACTCAAAAAATATTTTTTGTACAGAAATTTAATAATGTACCTTTCCTAAGAACATCTTTCATAAGAAATAAGTACCTAAATTTATACCTTTATTCTCAGTTCTATATTTCAACACTGCAATCACTACCTCTGGAATCAACTTACTCATTGTCTGCATAGATAACTTTTTCAACTAAAAATATCACTTAAATGACATTACTCAAAAAAGTTGAAATTGGAGTTAGTCATTCTGTGGTTTATAAAAGCAAAGAAAGTTGTGTGGTTTATAAAAGCAGATGGAGTAACTACATTTTTATTGCCTACCGTCGATATAGTAAATAGACTTTTTACAATTTTAATTTTAATGTCTAGTTTTTTTTTTTAGATTTGCTACTACAAAGGTTATATTATATATTATTATTATATATATTATATATTATATTATATTATATCTTTTCTTTTGATTTTTGAATGTTTTACTGAAGTAATGCTATTTTTTTATCATATTACTAATGATTAAAAAAAAAAGTTTAGTCCAATAATTGGAATCACCTTTTATTTATTTGTATTTATAACTAGGAAGGTAATGTTACTTTGTATGTATAATTGTTTGGAAATAATATACCATTGTGAAATAATTTGCAGCGTTTTTTTTTCAAATTAATTATCTTTGTATATGTATATATAAAAAAAAAAATCTTTCGGGCTGAAGCCCCTTCCCCAAAATGAAATCTGGACACAGTAGTGTATATCACTACTATTAGTGCAAAAGGACGCATGTAAAAATTTTCAACTTTTATTCCATGTGTTTAAAGGTGACATTTTGTAGTCTGCAACTGATATAAGTAGTCTGCTATTATGGAAAATAGCAGATAACAATAAAATATGAAATTATTCTAATGATTTTAAGACTAATCGCGTATCGATTTATTTAAACTTTTAGTATTTTTCCATCTAAGTGTCCATTATTCTTGTATAAAAAGCGTAGTTTTTGAAAATTCTATCGAGTTTTAAGATTGACTCGTTATCTTCTAGACAAAGTTCCAATATTATGTGATAAAAGGTTAAGTTTTTAAAATACTATCGATTCCAAAACTCATCGTGTATCAATTCATGTTAACATTTCAGATTGTTTCTCTAGGTTCTATTAAAGTTTAATTTTTTAAAAATAATATCGATTTTAAGACTGACTACTCGACTATCGATTTATTTAAACGATTCGGATTTCTTCCATAAAAAGTTCCATTCTTATGTAATAAAACAATGTAGTTTTTGAAAATAGTATCGATTTTAAGATTGACACATTGTTTATCGATTTATTTTAATTTCTATGGCTACTCAGACTATGGGTTAGCATTTCATTTTTCTAGAAAGTGCTTACAAATTTCTCACCTTAATACTTATATAACTATACTGTCGATAAATTAATCTATTAAAATTTCCTGAAGATGGAGCAGAGCACCGAAACGCTGAGTTTATATAACCGAATTATATAAAAAATAAAGTATTTACGTCAGGAGGATTGAATGATTTTTCGCAAACCATAAAGAAACTATATTACTATAAGGTACATAAGCGGGCTCTTCTATCAAGCTGACAAACTATCCATTCCCAATGCCTTCAGATTATGGGAAGTTGCAATGTATTTATTTCCATTACATAATATATTTACCTGAGAGTTTTCTCAAAAGACCTTATTCCAGGAGAACCAAAAGGAGAGAAGGCAGTTACGGTGATGTCATTATCCTGACAGAAAGATACGAGTTCTTTCTCCTGAAGATAAATTTGCATTTCCATCTGATGGTTCACTGGTCGTATCCTACAGCTGTCTAGAATTCTTTGAATCTGCTTAGAGTTAAATTTAGAAATTCCGATGTATTTAGCCCTACCAGCGTCTACTTGAGCTTCCATTCCCTGAAAAAGGAGGAAAAAGTGTTTATTTTATAACTGTTTCTGACGGATAGTAATATTTTTGAAACTTATTATAAATATTTTAACAATTAATAAAACGGAATATCAAAAGTAATATTTTCCACAAATACATTCTGTTACCTCATGTTATTTACTGTATTTGACTAGCTATCTCTCGATTGCTTCTTTCTACGATTAAGTCGTGGAGAAATATTATAATAATTTATAAAATATTATAAAAATTATTTTTTTCTGCAAATTCTCAGAATTTTTTTCACAATTTATGTATTTATTTTGAAACATAATAATCTGTCACATGGACTATAATTATAGTGATATATGAACACATTCAAACCATATATACAGAAAATATAAAAATAACAAAAGTAAAATGATTATCAAAACTATGTACAATAAAAAAATAAAATAACCTAAACACAAGTAAATTAAAAACATTAAAACAGTCTTACCTATATACAATCAGGCGAGGAACCCCAAGTCAGGCTTCTCTCTCCAACTATAGAAGGAAAAGCAGAATTCCAAGAGATCCCTACGCTACTTTCTCAACCGCGTCACTGGTGCTAAAGCCAGTGGAGTTTGAGCGAGAGTGCTTTAGCCACATACACTCATGTCTTTAGTGGAGAAGCTGGCCATTGCCAGAACTCCAAGATATATACTATAAAAGATCTTTGGGCCACTGCCGCTTCAACCTTCGAGGAGGGTTGTAGGGATGAGTGGAACAGATAGGGATTGTGCTAGGGGATTTGGATGATTTATAAGGTTCTGATGGAATTGGCAAAACTTTTTCAGGGATGAGTTCGAGGAAAAATAGGATATTAAGGTCATGATGTAGGGTTTTGTTGGTTATATAGAACAGAGTATTATTGTCCGGAGGGTTTTGGACTGAAAGGATTGGGTGAAAAATTTTGCTGTCTCCAAAAGTTCTCGGAAGTAACATATAATTGATTTAACTTTTGAACCTTTGAAGATTAACTGGTAAAATAATATATGTTTATTATAAAATAATATATGTTATGTTCATTTAATTTTTTAATGATTACATACTATTTTTAAACAATGTATATAATGTTAGAATTTTTATAATTTAGTTTTTGGCCAGATTTGTATTTTCGTTTGTATTAATTTATCATTGTTATTCTAAGAGGACTTAGTCCCAGAATAAAGTTCAATTTTCTATTCTATATTCTTAAAGAAAATTTAATTATTAAAAAATTTATTTCTCTTAATCGTAGAAAGGAGCAATAAAAAGTTAGCAAGTCACATGCAGTAAAAAACATGAGATAAACAATTTTTTTTATCCAGAATAGCGATAGTTGAGAACGGATATCTCGGAAATTAAGCATGGTAGCGAAAAAAGGTATATGATCGATTATACACCAAATTTTATCAGCTTTAATTTTGTATTAGAACGCCTTTGGCGATGGATAGTTTTCCTGATTTAAGCGAAAAATGTGGCCTTTAAGTCCCTCCCCCCCCTCTCACTCACATCTGGCCCACCACCTAGAAGTGGGAACATTTAGTATGTTTACCTCCTTACTAGTCCAAAATCAAAAACTGTCTGCACCATTCCCTTATATACCCACTTTTCGAGCTTTGATTGACTGGACCATGATCGATTAATATAACTTTAGGGATAGCTGTGTCTTTTTATTTAACTATAAATAAATGGCATCAAATGGCACAATACAATTATATTTATTAAGTAAAATGTTTCTATAGCAATCGTAGTAAAGCAGGAAAGTTCACCATTTGAATAGACTGTCCTGATAAAATTATATTGTACAAACAGATAAACATGTTTGGCTGATATTGCTTATTATACGTCGAAATCATTAAGAAAAAGGTAGCTATCTAATTTCTGTTCTCGCTGAGGAAAACTATTATGTATTAATTAATTAACATAATATTCATTCATGGTCACTTACTTTCCACAGCTCTACAAGATCGGTTTCCATATCTAACTCCAATTCAGTGAAGTTCGGAACCTCCTGGGCGATATCGTCGGGTCTTTTATAACCCATTGGAGAATGGACAAGGTACAGGTCCACGTAGTCCAGTTGTAACGCTTCAAGAGACTTCTTCAAGAAGTACTCAACATCTCCTCGGCGATTTCCATGGTTTGGAAGCTTAAATAATAATAAATTTATTAGTTTATTAAGGGCGATCGTTTCTCCCAATAAAAATGTCGAGGGTGAGAATATCGATTCACCCTCTTCCTCCCCCAATAATTTGAAGTAAAAAATAAATTAAAACTGATAACAAATAACACACATAAATAAATAAAGGATAAACTAAACTAAAAGATAAACTAGCTGGTTATGTTAAGGTCTATAAGTAGATATCTAACTATTTTATCATGACCTAAATATTTTTATTATTTAAATATATATTTATATTCAGAGATGATTATATAGAAACATTTCCTAGGATTTTATGATTCCTTCACCTCTCATGTGAACAACTCCATTTCTACCTGATTTTCTTATAATTTTTCTACGTTAAAGTTCGAAAAAATCGACTTAATAATTATTAGTCCGTGGTACAGACTCTTTTTTATCAAATTATTAACATACGGCTGAAACTTCGTAAACAGGTTCTACTCATCATAACTAACAAATATTTTATTTACGAAAATTCTCATTATTGGGGCGTTTTCAATCTGGAGGTCGGCAAACTTTGTCTATTTAATTAGGTACAAAAAAACTCGTAAATACTCATTGCCTTTCTACTTAAATCGTAAGGTAACTTGAGCACAAAGTCAATAAAAAAGACTGCCTTCAAAAATATTTGGTCTGTATAACCTCATTATTTTGATAATTTTGGGTGTGTAGTTCACGCCAAACGGCTCAATATTTTTAAAGGCCACCTTTTTCCTTGACATTATGCTCAAGTTATCTTACGATTCAAGTGGAAAGCAAATGAGTATTTACGAGTTTTTAGCACCTAATTAAATAGACAAAGTTTACCGACCTCCAGATTGAAAACGCCCCAATTACGAGAATTTTCGTAAATAAAATATTTGTAGGTTACGATTTGAAGAAGCTATTTATGAAGTTTCAGTCGGATGTTAATAATTCGATAAAAATAAATCTGTACCTATATTATAACTATCTGTGACTATATTATAATAATATTTTATGCAGCATATTTTTATAGACATTTTTACATAGTTAAATTTTGAAATTATTACATTTTTATTTTAATGTTGTACAAACTAAGAAATCAAAAATATTTTTCTGTTTTTTAACATTATTCATTTTTAGATGGAAACGTTATAGAATGTACCCATGTTATGAATCCTGCCCCCCTTTCTTCCATTTTGAATTTATACAACTTGTAATACAGATATTTCCAAGTATATTCATATGCACTTAAAAACATTCTACGAATTCCAAACAAATATATAAATTTATTTTTGAATATTCTATATTATATTTGCTTGCTTTTTAATAATTATGTTGAATTTTTATACATAATAAGAAATACTGCCTTTTATCTATTTTATTTTTGTCGGTCCTTCGTCCCCCCCCCTAACCTTAATGGAAAGTCTACGCCCATGATTGGAAACATGAATTAAATGCTATAAAATTAGCCATAACAAAGGATTTTAAATTATTCTTTTCTTTAAACTTATAAGGATTATTATCAGATATGACTATTGACCAAACATTTTTCTATGGCAAATATTAGCATGATTCGAATACTAAAGTGTAATTCATGAATCCATATAAAAGAAAGATGCATTTCACTCACTAATTATTACTACATTTAAAAAATAAAATTCTCTTGTGTGTGTGAAAAAAAATCGTACTCCAAGTTGTAAACAGAAAAATAATATTTAAAAATTCTAAAGCCTGTCAACTCAAGTATTTTATGCATTACAGTTATCCTTATCATAAACTCAAACTCTTATCAGTGTAAATTTAATTATATTTACTAGTGAAACCGCTGGTAATATCTAGTTTTACTTAAATACTAAAAAAGATTCAATTGAACATTTGAGGCATTATACAAAAATATAATATATCTATTATAGATTCTGTTTTTATCATCCTATAATAATAATAATAATAATAATATTTTAGTTTGTTATAATTACACAGAATAACTTGTAAATTAGTTCATAAAGGAAAAATTTATGTCTGAAAAATTCTAGTCAAATAATGTTTAAGAACTCCTCCTCTGGAATAACCTCTGTTCTTGACCGATCGATAGGCTCTGAATTTTCCAAGAGTAGTTTGAAGAAGTTTGGATAAGCTTTACATATTTGTTTACTTTTTATATTACTTGGGTAGTATTGAATTTAATAGCTACTGTTTGGATATAAATGAATTGTCTTCATCCACCATCTCCTTTGATAAATTGCACGCTGTTTTCACTTTGTTTTGTGATTTTGTAAACAGCAATAGGGTTGGGCAAATGCAATTTCCAATGTCCGCCATTTTGTTACTCTATTATTAGAAAAGCATGATAAATCACTTCTTTTTTTTTTTTTTTTTTTTTTTTTGTATTTTTGGTGTTTTGAAAATGTGTAAATTCGGCTTAAGATTTGTCTAGATAGATAAAAAAAAATACGAATTCATTAACTCACCCAGAAGTATTATAATATATCATGTATTTCATATAATTTTTTTTTTCTTGGAACGGTCTTAGAGACCGTGCGAATATATACTTTTGTTTCTTTTCTTGTTTTTGTTTTTCCTTTCCTTCCATTTATCCCTCATTATCTCTGTGTGCTTTTGTTTTCTTTCTTCTGTCTTCGCTACTCCCTTTTTCGAATGTTTCTTTCTCACTAGAACCTTGATTTCCTTTAGTCTTTTCCTGTATTTATTTCCGTCCAGGCAGTCCTGATCCGTTATTCCTAGTCTTTCCGTTTTTTTTCTTTCATCTGCTTGGTGTATCCTCCTGAGCTTTTGTATCATCGGATTTTCTGGAATGTTTAGTCTTTCCGAGATCATTCTTACCAAATGTCCGTGGAATTTCAGTCTCTTGATCCTTATTTCTGTTTCTAGGTTCTTTGTGCCTTCTTAGATTTCTTGGTTAGGTCTTAGCCTGTATCCTTCTTTTCTATTTTTGGGACCGTAGATCACATACTTTATTATTATTAATTTTTTTAATTCACGACTTTTACATTGGTCATATGTCGTAACCAAATATAAGTTTTTACCATCTTGTTCTATCCTGCCAGTTTTCTCCACGCATGCCTGTGGTCATCATTCCTTCCTATACGCCCTCATACCAGTTTCTCTTCAGGCGACCTTTCTTCCGTATTCTTTCTGGTCCCTCTTCCATTCTCATCAAATGCCTATATCACTTCAGCTTCAGTTTCAATGGTGTGTAGGATGTTCTCCATTTGTTCTACTCGCCTCCAAAAGTCCATTTCTAGGGCTGGTAATCTTTTTGATTTGCTCTCTTTAATTGCCCAAGATTAAACTGAATAGAAAGTAACACATTCCAGGAATTCGTTATTCGTAAGTCTTTTTTTTTTTTAAGGACACTGCTGTACTCCACAGTACCGAATTTAAGGTTCTGGTGATGATCTTTCCGTTGCTTATCTTCTTTTCAATGTCCATATCTGATTTTCCTGTCGTCTTCACCCAGCTTCCTCAAATTTACCTTCAGTTTTCAATTGTCCAATTTTAGATATTCACCTTTGCTATTAAAAGCCATATATTTAGCGTTTTTCCTTTGCTGATTTCCAGGCACCAGGTTGAGTATTCCTGGAGAATTTTTCTCATCATGTATTCCACACCTGCTTCTGAAGCAATTAGTACCTGGTCGTCAGGAAACTTGAGATTGAATAGTTATATAATTTTATTATTAATACTTATTTAAAATATTCTTTAGGGAAATTACAACTGAAATACCTTTGTTACTATGAAAAGCTCTTCTCTCTTGATTTTTCCACTTTCGAAAATCTTTTTGAGTGATCGACCAATATCGGCTTCATTGTTATATCGATACGCTGTATCGAAGTGTCTATAACCAGCGTCTAAGGCAGTGTTTAAAGCTGTCTCCATCTCTTCAGTTGTAATCTGCAAAATATATTTTTTTAAAAGTGAAAAACAAATATATATAAACAGACTTGCTCTGTCTTTGCTTGTTGGTAGAGCAGGCCTGAACTTCGGGCCGAAACGTCGGCGAATGTAAAAATAAATACAATTATTTATTTTTACTATTTTATTATGAATTAACACCCCAGCCATTCTTCCCTTCAATTATTCATTACAGTAAACTATCAACCCACAATTATATATACAAATAGAAGTATGAAAAATAAAGTTTAGATCTTGGTTTTTTTCTAAATGTTTAATGCAATCAGCACAGAAAATATCTAGAGGGATAGAAAATTCTTTGCCCCCCCCTCCCGTTCTATGTTAAGGGCGTTGCCTCTGTAAAGTCTGATATTTGTTTGGATATAATAAAATGAATGAATGAAACGAAAATACTTTTATAATTCTGGGACTAGTGGAACTTTAGAACTAATTATAAATGCAGAATATAAATAAACATATTAGTGCATCTATTGCTTAAATTAAATATTTAATTAATTAATATTAATAGGTAATAAAGTGTATTATAATATAATGTGCAATTAGGAATTCGCCTCCTTTTGCAATTATTCTAATCTTGAGTGTGTTTATTTAGGTTTTTTAAAATATTTTAATATATTAATAAATAATTAATAATAATAATGAATATTAGCATATTTTACTAATGAAATGCATTTCCAAAATTGTAATTATAAATTTTAAAAAAGAAGTGTTAAGTAGAAGCATGAGATAAAGAAAATTCTATTAATAATAATAATACAATATATTATAATAAAGTATTAAAATTATTTTCAATACTAACATTCAGAAATTTAAACTTTCCATTTCTATTCTTGCAGTAATAATATGTAAAATAATTAATTATACTTCTTAAACAATTTTTTATTCTTTTTTGTCAGCGACCGAAGTAAAATAACTTTGAAATGTACGAGTTTTTTTTTTTTTTTTTTTTTTATTGATGATATTTACAACTGTATTACAAGTAATAATACATTCAGTAAATGTGAACAATAGAATATAATAGCATGAAATCATTTGTTGAGAAACTACCCACTGGTAGCACTCTAAAAATGTATTTACAAAAGGAGATCTCGAGGCCATCTTCTTTTCAGACGCCTCGGAGGGTTGTCAGGTATCGAAAAGGAAGCAAGGTTAGAAACGAGAGGGTTAGGATGGTTCTGAAGTTTATTATGGAAGGAAAGGTATCTGGATTGGGCCAGGTCAGAAACATAAGGAACATTAAGGTCGTTATGGATGATTTTGTTTGTGACAAAGTAAGGAGTTGTGAGGATTTTACGAAGGATTTTGGATTGTAAGGATTGGATGCGAGAGGAATTCGATGGTTTAGTGGAGCCCCAGAGCTCAGCTCCGTAAGTCCAAATAGGTCTTATTGTAGTCACGTATATGAGTCTTTTGTAATTGACTGGGAGCTTAGAGCGTTTGTCTAGTAAGTGCTGGAGTAGTCGGAAACGTCGAGCTGTTTCTTGTCGTTTCAGTCTGGTATGAGGATTCCAAGTTAGACGTTTGTCTCAGTGGAGTCCAAGGTATCGAATTTGTTCAACAGGGATAAGTGGGGTATTATTAAAGGATACTGTAGGACAAGAGGACATAGGTTTACGACGAAGGGTAAATAATGTACGAGTTAAAATAAATTTATTTTAAAAAATCATTTATAGGATATCTATATGGCATAGTAACAAAGCATATGAAAAAAAACCTAATGAACTCACGATAAAACAAATATCAGAAATCTACGTGTTAAGATGGCGACACTGGAGAGAGTTTTTAGGTGTTTTGGTATCTAATATGTTATAATTATTCAAATTTGTGAATATTCTTCTAAATTATTCCTTTATCAAAGGAGATATTTTTATTTCGTAAATTATGTCCTAATATTGCAGCTATATAGGAGAGATTGAAGAAAAATACAAAAAGAGTCTTAAATAAAGAAATGTTATTTAGAAACACGAGTTACAAAGTTAATTATTAATTGAAATTTAAAGCAATTTACGTAAAATATTTCTTTTGTAATTTGAATTTCTTTTGAAATATAATTACAAATTAATAATAATTAACTACGTAATATTTCACAGAACTAATATTCAAAAAATTATACTTATATTACTATTTAATATATATATATTTTTTTTTAAATAGTTATACTTTTAAAGCAATTTATATATGTTTTCTGATTGGTTAAAATTTTATTTTTATGTATTCATAAAAAAAAAAATTTCTAATAGACGAACGTGTTCCCAGAAACCCCAAGAAAATAAAAGTAAAATTTATGAGTGGAAATAATTGTTTTTTTTTTTTCTAATCATTTATAGGATATCTAAAACTAATAGCAACAAAAAATATGAAAAAAAAAAAAAAAATGTACCGACCAAAACAATTATTAAAAATCTCAAAGGGCTATATGTGTTAAGGTAGCAACCGTAGATTGATTTTAGGTGTTTAGGAATCTTATAGGTTATAATTATTCAAATTCATCAATAATCTTCCTAATTATTCGTTTCTCATAGAAGATATTTTTGTATTACTCATTAAGTCATAATATTGTAGCTTTATAGGAAAGATTAAAAGAAAAATACAAAAAGATTCTTAAATGAAGAAGTGTTAGCATGAGGTAGTAAGTTACTTAGTCATTGAAATTCACTATAATTTTTGTAAACTTTCTCCTTTGATTTGAAATATTTTAACAAATTTATAATTATTATTTAATATATATTTCACCGCACTAACATTCCAAAATTTCTACTTTCTGCTTCTATTTCTATTCTAATAAAAATATGTGAGTCCTCAACGACTTCAATAAAATAACGTTATAATTTGTAAGTTAAAATAAATTAATTTAAAAAAAAAATAATCATTTATAGGATATTTAAAAATATGAAGAAAAAAAACTAAGGTGTGTGCTTTAGACCACACGATAGAAATGAAAACATAACATCAACAAAGCGAGATTAATAATATGAAAATAAATTATAAATAATAGTTCATTATAGAGAGGATGAAATGCTGAATATTTTCCTCGCATGCTGGTCCGATTTTTATCCATATCTTTAATAAAACTCGTTATTTGGTTTTTTGACTCTACCTTTTTCTCTCTCCTATTCTCTAACATAGTGATGAGTCGAGATATAATTTTGAATAATAGCTCATTACAAAGAAGATGAAATGCTGAACATTTCCCTAACTTACAATATGCAGATCCGATTTTTAGTTTCACAGATATTTTAATACATGTGCAAAAATTAGTCGATTTCAGCCGACTTTACGAAAGCGTTACACATTGGAGATCTGACGGTTCAATCTAATTCACTTTCCACAAAAAACAAATGTCAAAAATCTCATGAACGTACGTGTTAAGGTGGTAGCTATGAAGAGAGTTTTTAGGGGATTTTAACTTAATATGTTATAATTATTCAAATTAATGAATATTCTTCTTAATCATTCCTTTTTTTTTTTTTTTTTTTTTTTTTTTTTTTCCTACCCCCCAGGAATTTCTTGAATAAATTCAGTATGTATATAAATGTATATATACATAAATTTTCAACTTTCCTTTTATTGCCCAAGGGCATTTTAAGTTAAGAGGGCTCTGCACGCTGTATGCGTTCTTTGCATCTGTGACCAAAGGCCTTTTATTATACCACTGGGCGTGGAGGGACCGCCCTTTAATCATTCCTTTGTCAAAGGAGATATTTTTATATTGCACATTACGTACTAATATTACAGGATTATAGGGGAATTAAAAAAAAAAAAAATACGAAAGCGATCTCAAACAAACAAGTTGTAGATAGATACGAGTTAGAAACTTAATTAATAAATGAAATTTACACCATTTTTTGTAAATTTGCTCCTCTGTGGTAACTTAAAATAATTGTTTTATGTATATTTCAGAGACTAACATTCAAAGTTATAACATAACGTATTTTGTTCTAAACTAACCTCATTGGTGCCTAGGCCTATATATGGCAACTTCATGCTGCTGTGTTTCAGAAAACTCTTTTTCGTTAGTTGAGCCATCTTGACTTCTGTTCTGACTGGAGGTTTGTATTGGACTGGCTGAACTCAGGCAGTGTATATAATCATGTTAACACAATTAACTTATTTTTTGTAAAAGAAACAATAAAATACTATTTATAAAAATAAATTTATGTATATATATTTCATTTTGATTCTTCACAACCGAAGGTTGGGATGCATTGTATTCGTGCGAGGTAAAAAAAAAAACGCTGCAAATTATTGGACAATGGTTTATTATTTCCAGACAATTATACATCTAAAGTAACATTACCTTCATAGTTACAAAGAAAAATAAATAAAAAGTGATTTAGATATAGGGATGGGTGATAGCCGATAGTAAAATCGATATATCGATAGTTCGTATCCCACCCATAGACGAAAATTAATTTCAATATTTGATGATGGAAAATTGTTCCGAAACATCACATTAACAAAATAAATGAATATAATTATGTAGCCGGGTTACTAAAACTATTTCAATCAATATATAAAATTGTACAAGAAAAATCCTTCAAGGTAAAAAAAGTACAATTCAAATAATATTCTTAGAAATATTTTCACACCTGCAGTAATACCGATGAAAAAAAAAAAAAACGCTGCAAATGATTACACAATGGTTTATTATTTCCATTGTGGATTAATAAAAGATTGTTTCCATTATTATATTCCATGGTTTATCATTCCACAATTACACTTCAAAAGTAACATTACCTTCATAGTTACAAAGAAAAATAAATAAAAAGTGATTGCAATTATTGGACTAAACATTTTTTTTTTTTAATCATTGGTAATATGCTAAAAAAAATAGTATTACATCAGTAATGCATTCAAAATTTTAAAAACAAACAAAGGATATAACATTTGGAGTAGAACATATTTTAAAAAACCGGAGACCATATCTTTGCTCTTAATTGTCTGATTTTAACGATTTTGGTTTATTATTTTCAATGATGAAAGATTGTGATCAACCAAAAAATTCCAAAACATAATCCCCTCTCAAAATTTGAGGTTTCACGTTTCAAGATGCGTAGAATTCGAAAAACGAATAAAAAATTTTTTGTCCGTCCGCCGTCCGCGCATTTTCTCCGAAACTACTAGACCGATATTTTTCAAATTTTGATATAAAGTCATTTTCTCGACGCCCTTTAAATTTATCTATATAACATACTTCAACGAAAAGAAGCTGGAAAAAAAGTTACGTGGGATGTTAAAATTAAATTCCGAATAACTCGAAAAGTTTACGAAATTTCCTTAAAAAATCGTTAAAATCGGACAATTTATAGCAAAGATATGGTCTCCGGTTTTTTTTTTATGTTCTACTCCAAATGTTATATTCTTTTTTGTTGGTTGGTTGGATGGTTTGGTTTTTAAATTTTGAATGTGTTACTGAACTAATGCTATTTTTTTTTTAGCAAATTACTAATGATTACAGAAAAACAGTTTAGTCCAATAATCGCAATCACCTTTTGTTTGGTTTTCTTTGTAACTCGGAAGATAATGTTACTTTAGATGTATAATTGTTTGGAGATAATAAACCATTGTGAAATAATTTGCAACGTTTTTTGGGGGGGGTTTTAGGAAATTTCGTAAACTTTTAAAAAACCATACATTATCCACCAAAAAGTGTAATGTATGGTTCTATTCGTTGAAGTATGTTGTATAAATAAATTTAAAGGGCGTCAAGAAAATGACTTTAGCGAAGTTTCATTGAAATCGGCTCATTCGTTTAGGAGCTACATCAAGGAATCGCAAGACGCTGGAAGTGAAGTGTTCAAGCCGAGCTGGTACGCTTTCGATGCCATCGATAGGTTTCTGAGGGTCAAAGGTGAAAGAGGCGCTTGGGTTAATTCTGAGGTCAGTATATTGTTCTGTAATCTCAAATTATTCACAAAAATAATAACTATAACAAGAAATGACGAATAACTATTATTTATTTTGCTAACTATTATTTATTAATTTTTTTTTTCGTTATAACTAAAGACATCACGTTTATAAGTAAATTACAGATCGTGCTACAAAAGAAAGCAATTACCAGAAAAAATAATGAATCAGTCGCCGAATGATTGAATAGTTCACAAAAGAATCACTAGAGCTACGTAGTCCTGGATGGAGCCGCTGGCAAAAAAAAGTGTCATATTTCATATTAAGGTTTGTTCTTATAAATCGACCATATCCACAGGTCTGATGAGAAAATGCACGTCTGCAAGCATATAGCCGCTGGAATACAAAATGACGGTCACGTGATAATAGAAGCTACCCTACATAGCATATAAGCGTATATACAGAGAAAGTTTATACATATATAAAGCTACCAACCCTTTCAATTTATATTATTTACTGTAGTAAAGACATGGAATAATAATCAATTACCCCATACCCGTGGATTATAAGTCGAAAAATTGTATTTACGATTCAAAACCTTTTTTTTTCGGTTTTTCGCTTATATCAGTGAAACTATGCGTTCTATCTATAATAATACGATATGTTAAATAAAAGCTGACAAAATTTGAAATAGAATTGATCATATTAGTTTTTCGCTATATTCTATAGTTTCCGTGATATATGTCATCGTAATTCATTAACTTCGAAAAAAATATTTTTTTGTATTGCATTTTTATCATTATTTGAATTGTCAACTCTTTATATTTTTATTTCACGAAAAAGTCATAAGGAAGTAAGTTGTTTAATATTAAATATTCTTTAAGAATATATATTGCTTTAATATATTATCTTCAACCATTCAATGGCTAGAGCAATTAAAATTTAATGATTAAACTTTAAAACTATAAAGAAGAACTTACTTTTCGCAATTTTCGTTATTACGCAGTTTTTAATCAGTATCAGACATTATATATATGTATGTTATGTCAGCCAATGTATACACATGTATGTTGTTTTATATAAAGATTAAGTGCTGTGTAATATCGAAAATTGCGAAAAGTAAGTTTTTCCGTATAGTTTCGGAGTTTTATAATAAAGTTATAATTAATCTAGCCTTTGAATGGTTGAAATAAGATAGTAAAGCAAAATACATTCTTAAAGGAAATTTAATATTAAACAAATTTCTTGCTTGACTTTTTATGACTTTGACTTTTTCTTAAAATGAAAAGATAAAGAGTTGGCGAGTCAAATAATGATAAAAATGCAATGCAAAAAAAATTTGTTTATTCGAAATTAATGAATTACGATGACATATATCACGGAAACTATAGAATATAGCGAAAAAACTAATATAATCGATAATATTGCAAATTTTGACAGCTTTTCAGGATTGTCTTGTAGATCAGTAATTTGTTATCGACAGAAAGTTGAGATTTTTTGTTCAATAGTCTATATAGCTGTTATTATCGTCTGTTAAGTTGCTGTGTTTAAGGCCGACCAGGGGTGCCCATTCCCCCAAAGATCGATGACGCATGAACTACCACTCCCTTCTCCAAAAATTGTATTATTCTCCTCCTCTTAAAACAGTGCAAAGGGAAGGAGGATTAGACAAATAATAGATCACATGCAATTACACTTGTTGTGGTCTGTGCAATGTTTTACTCCTAGTTCCCTGTTTTGAAACTTTTCACTCCAAAAATTCATAGCCCCGACGAAATGCATCCCCTCAAAAATTAAGTTTTTTTAATTTATTTATTTATATGATATTTACAACTGTATACAAAAAATACATCTAGTAAATTCGCACATGGATATAATGACATGAAACACATGTTGAGAAACTACCTATTGGTAGCACTCTAATAATATGTCTATATTAGGAGATCACATGGCCATCTTAGAAACAAGAGGGTTGGGATGGTTATGAAGTTGGGCCAAATCTGATACATAAGGAACATTAAGGTCATTATGGATGATTTTATTTGTTACAAAGTAAGGAGCATTGAGGATTTTACCAAGGATTTTGGATTATAAGGATTGGATACGAGAGGAATTTGAAGGTTTGGTGGAGCCCCATAGCTCAACGTCGTCTCCAATAGGCCTTATTATAGTCATGTAAATGAGTCTTTTATAATTAATTGGAAGCTTAGAGCGTTTGTCTAGTAAGTGTTGAAGTAGTTGAAGCTGTTTCTTGTCGTTTCAGTCTGGTATGAGGATTCCAAGTTAGACGTTTGTCCAGATGGAGTCCTTGGTCAAAAATTAATAACCCAGTCAAAATGTGCCCCTCCCTCCCTAAAAATTTTGATTTCGCAACTTGTTTAATGAAACCTCCTTCTGGACACCCCTGGATTTCAAGTTAATCTAACTGGAAGTAGATTAAAATTAAATTAAAACGCACGCACATATTTTTACTGGTAGGTTCATAAGTCTCCTTAGTTTATTTTATAATTGAAATGTACATGTAGGATAGCTGGGCCAGGGAACCAGATGATGGAGGCAAACCCAATCCTGGAGATATGCCAGATGAGGAGTCTTTTTCTGCTAGTTCTGGTGAGTTCCTCCGGAATAAACATAATACTTTTAACTTTCCTTTCTTCTGTACAATAAGTTTAATTTATTTTTTTCAGAAAACACCCAATCAGATTCGTATGTATATACAAAACCAAGAGACACGAAGCCATATAATATCAATATTCCCCAAAAAGGCGTCGCGTACTCCCTCCTCATCTGGAAAATGGTCTGGATGTACCTATTGACACCCTTAGTTCTTTGTCATATCGCCATCCGCAACTCCAGGTCCAGTGCTCCATCTTCGGGCAGTTAGGTGCCGAACAGCTGCGGCAGCTCAGTCCCAGGAATAGGATTCTGACCCAAGGCAAATTGAACATCGTCATGGAAAAGCCAATGCTGGAAGAACTGGAGGATCCACCCTAGACTCATCTTCCTCAGCGAAGAAAATCCATCGGTGGATCTTCCGCTACCAATGTTAAGTCCTGAGCAGGAGATCCACTAGCTGAAGGAAATTTGAAAAATCCGTCCACCATGAACAGCGCACTCCCTCAAAGTAATTATTGACTGTAATTCACTTAGAAAATTGTTGTGTCAAAGTTGTATTTTTAATACTAAATTAAAATGCTTTTTGATTAATGAATTATTTAGTTTATCCTAATTTTCTTCTTTATATGTTAATTTTTAGCGATAATAATTTTACAATGAGCATATCAATAAGTGGAAAAGGTGGAGCAGTTTCCCTCACATCTCCTAAGATGGACAAAATTTAGAATTAAGAAACAATGAATATACATAGATCCAGGGGTACCCTGAAGGAGGTTATTCGGAATTTAATTTTACCACCCCTCGTAACTTTTTTTCAGCTTCTTTTCGTTGAAGTATGTTATATAGATAAATTTAAAGGATCTCGAGAAAATGACTTTAGCGAAGTTTCATTGAAATCGGTACATTCGTTTAGGCGGTACAATCTATAGCAACGAAGGTTTTTCTGCATTTTTATTTTTCTTCGCCTTTATTAACTTATCAAATTCTTTCAAAAGTTATATTTAGCATTTTTTCGTTACTCTGAATAATGTGAAATGATTAACTTTTTAAAATAAACCATATTAAAGGTACTTTAGAGGAAGACGTATATGAACATTGGGCATTTAAGCCCTGTAAAGTGACATCAATGAGGATAAGACCTAATTGATATTAAAGACCACTTAATTATACAATGATACACCGAGTTTAATCAAAATCATTAGAGCCGTTTTTGAGAAAATGTGTTTCAGCGTTGATATAAAGTGGGCACTTTCGGTTAGCCGATTTTGAGGAAAAATTTGCTTTCACATCTAAAGCATATACCTATCTTAAATACGTTATATCAGTTTCGTAGGACTTTTCGTTTTTGAGCTAGACTGCTAACATACAAACACTCAGACGCACAGACATATTTTCGGGACTTGGTCATTTCGACTCAGGGTACCTCAAAACGTGTATTTCCGTTGAAAACTCAGATTCAAAAATTTTCTCGATCGCAATACTTACACTTACTATGTATTACATATATACTTGTGAAAGTAAAAACGTATAGATACTTTGTAAAGATACTTTATTGTACTTTAATATTGCTCTGAACAATGTTTGAGAAAAATCTCATAATTTTTGTTTAATATTCTCAAAAAACTAAAACATCAGTTTTCTATACCCCTCTCCCCTCCCATCGAAACCCAACGCGGAATTCTTTGGGACTTTTCGTCAGTTATTATGAGGAAGTTGGGGTTCTGAGTTTTTTTTTCCTCCTGGTTTAACTGCATCTTAAGTGGGATGTACGTAACATTTGATTACAAAGAGACATACATGAGACCAAATTTGGTAATCCAAAACATAAAACAAGAGCGGAAATTTTCGATTTTGGACGAAAAAATATTATTAATCTCTCACACCATTATAAGTTTTCCTACTTTCGGTATTGAGGTAGCAAGATTTATATTAGATTTTTGGTAATTTTCACGAGTTAAAGATTTTTTTTTAGTATGAAGAATCCATCAAATCGTGACGACCTTTATCTATTGAGCGAAGATACATAAAGAAATATTCCCCAAAGATATAATATATATATATATATATATATATATATATATATATATATATATATATATATATATATATATATATATATATATATATATATATATATATTAGAGACAGAAGGAAAATCCAATAGCCAAGGTTGTTAAGAGCACATTAGTTCAGTCTAGTGCTACCAGCCGCAGTAATATCATCCTAGAGATCCTACAACGTTCGTGGTAAGTAACGAACATTTTCATGCATTACTTTATCTTTAAAAATTACAATTATTATTTTAAATATCAAATTCTATGTTTAGAATTTAGAATTGTTTCTCCAATGATTACGAATGTTTTATCCTTTGTACATAGCAATGAATTTTATAAAATATATATAACAAAGGTTGTAATAAGTTCAGAAACACACAAAAAAAAAAAATTAAAAAGAACTAACAATTTCTATTTTTTTTTCCCCACACCTGAATAATGCCTTCTTGATCAGCCATGCGTAATCTTGCAGTCCTATATAATTTCGCTCTCCTAGAATAAGTGTTGTCCATTTCACTAAAAGTACCTCTTTTTCTCTTGTCATATATAATACTTTCAATATATAACTCCTTTTAAACCCATGATTTATTATCTTGATAATCCAATTTTTAATATAATTAGATTAAATAAAGACATATTTCATGCTTCTATTTTAATTTTCTTTGTCTTCATATGCAGATGTACGATTTTAGTACATTTTTTGTTCATTGCTTTTGAGATTTAGAAGACAGTGATCGTATTCTTTTCACCTTTTCATTGTTGATCTTTTAATTTGATATATTATTATAGATTTTCGGATTTAACGAAGAAAAACATTATAAATATACTGGATGATTGAGTAATAGTCGAAGATGATTTTAGAAAAAATTTCAACAACAAAAGTGCATTTGATGCATCTTCCGATACCGAACGATAAAATCCAATTTTGTGCTTTCTGAAGTTATTTTCTTATTTTTGATAGGAAGTGATAACACAACAATTATTTATTTTAGGTAATTAATATTTGCTTCATAGTAAACTACACAAAATTTAACCTCAAATATTTGTAAAGTTTTTCCTTGTTGAAACCATTTAAAGGTGACTTTTGAACCGCTAAACGCTAAGTTCTGTTTTTCATTAAATCATGGATTTTTTTTTCATCATCCTACAACTGGATTAGAGATACCCCATTTTTATAACAACTTCGTTATTTAATAAGTAAATTTCATATCAATTTAGTTGAGGTTTGTTGCAGAATAGAGTTGAGAATCACCTCTAGTTATTTAAAAAAATTATGTGATTTGATAATCTGTCTCAGGTACTCTGGGTACCTATATTTTCAACAAAAAAACAATCGATAAATTATTAACAAATTTTGGTTGATTTTTTTCCAGTGACCTGACAAGAATTATAATAAATTAATTATGAAAATAGATTTTTTATTTATAAAAAAAATAATATTTACTTTAAATTGGATTGATATGCTTTTTCGTTTTTTCAAACTAATGCTGTCTGTGAAATAATATATCCAATTTCTTGTAAATGTTACTTCTTCCTTCTATGGACGTAGAGGTTCCTTTCTTGGATTTTCAAATGGTCAATATTCCATCCAAATTATTATTTATTTTTATTATTATTATTTAATTTTTATTAGCAACTGAAAGTAATGGTCATTATTGTAAATTAACACTTCTTGAAATAAAAATAAATGTCTACAATTTCTAGCTTTCTTTTTTATTAATTCAAAGTAAATATTAGGATTATCAACATTTACTTTCTTACTAAAAGAAGTATTTTCTTAATGAAGATGTTTGGGGTGGTCAAAGTAAATAGTAAAAATAAATAATTGTATTTATTTCACATTTGCCGACGTTTCGGCCCGAAGTTCAGGCCTTCATCAGAGCTAAGAAAAGAACCAGACAACAGAACAATAGGTATAAGATACTAAACTTGTTTTCTTAGCCCTGATGAAGGCCTGAGCTTCGGGCCGAAACGTCAGTGAATGTGAAAATAAATACAATTAATTATTTTTACTATTTTATTTTGACTGATCACCCAAACTAATGTTGCCCAAAACGATTTTTTAAATAAAAATTAAGGCAAAATAGTTACTAATACTCAATAATTTTAGTTACTATATGTTAATAATTAATATTACCAATGTACTGTTGCAGTTAACTTCTCTAATTTTTCATTCGGGCTTAGTTATGTTTCTCCTATCTAAAAAATTGCAGTAATATATCTATAGTAATAAGCTAAAAAGTCACTGCAAGACTGTTGCGAGACTCTTGCGCAAGACCAAGACCATGACCAAGACTGAGTTTGCAAGACCATGACTCGTCTCGGTCTCGCATTTGGGCCACACTAACCCCAACCATCTTTCTCTTCAATTATTCACTACAGTCAATCATCAACCCACAATTATTTTTTTAATGAATAAAAAGTGAATTTCAATAATAAATTTAGTAAAATTGATGTCACAGGGAAAAAAGAAATTAAGACTTTATAATAATTTATTGGATTTTTATCACCTTCCTCACATTTTTGCTGTACAGATTTTTTCTTGGCCCCGATGAGAGAGCTCGGGATTAATGCTAGAGTTTAAAAGTCCCTTCGGAACCGAGATTTGAACTCGTAATCTTCGGTTTTACACACGCGTCCACAACACTCCCTTACTTTATCAGTCGTTATTTCAACTGAAAATACAATTACTCTGTGACTTTTTTGGCTAATTATTTTTTATTTTGACTAAAATCTTGAAGATGAAAAAAAAAAAATTGGCGATTTTCCCGTGAAATATTTTCGAGGTCCATTTATAAATTTTTCTTTTTTAAATTCATAGTAAATCGTAAATCTAATTTCATACACGTTTGCTGAAATTTTAATCATATTGATGCATCTTTATAGGTCATCATATCTATTCAGTAACGAACGTTCAAATCTGCTTCCTTGATTGAATATGATAAAAATGATTTTTATCTAATTTACCTGCGACGCAAGGTCTTTTGGAGATTTTCTTTTCAGGAAGCACGTAACAGGAGTTATAAGTTTTGTCACGGTTAATATGAGTTAAGGTTACTCTGAGTTAAAAAAAGGATTTTTGTCATCTTCCTTTTGAAAAACATGACCAGATAATCGGTGTAAAAATCATTCTTAACTTTAGTGCCGTTACTAAAAGAAAGAAAAAAGTAGAGTATTAACTATGTTATGTATGAATAAATTAATTCAAGGTCATATTTATTCTATATATTTTAGTTTTGAAATAAAATTTATAATAAAAGTTTAGGCTATGTTGTTCCACCATTTATATTTTCTTATTACACTGGCAACGTTTCGGCTATGTTACCATTTTCAAGCCATATATAAGATTAATAATAATGATGTTTATTATGTAAGTCCCACATCCCTAAACCTGTTTCCCATAATTCATTATGAATAGTCCATGTTACAGGTCCCTGTTTTATCAAATTATTAACACCTGCCTAAAACGTCCTAAATATCTTCATCTCATCGTAACCTCCAAATATTTTATTTAGGAAAAATCTCGGAATTGGGACGTTTT